TTCTACTGTCCTAATAGCCAAGTTGGTCAATTTAGGGTTCTAAGGTTGGTTGGTGTTTAATGACCCCTTAGAAGACCTATATTCTCCCTGTTGCAACACAAGGGATATAGGTACAGACTAAGATGCCACACCAACGTAGCCACTGCTTCACCCATGTCAGTCTACGCCGGACAGGTCCCTCACAGATTATGCTACCTAAAAGGGTATTTCCCAGATCCGGGTTAGGATCTATGAAACTCCGATGCAAAGCCCACAAATATAAAAGCAAACAAAGCAAACAATTGAAAACAAAGGTGATCTAAACCCTAAGGTTACTCCACTTTTAAAGACTGTCCCCAGCAGAGTCGCCAGTTCTGTGATACGGTGGGAGAACTGACTATGAGATTTTGCGTTTGTATTCGCAAATGTTTCGGTTGAGCAAGAGTCGCCACCGACTTTTTATTTTATCCTAAGGAAAGGTTTAAAAAGCACAGCAAAAACCTTTTGAGATGTTTTCTTGGGTTCGGGGAGTAGATTATAGAAAGGGAAGGTATTAGCACCCTTTCTATCCATGGTTATCCATGGGCTCTTAGTTACTTGCTTAGATCACTTGCCTTTTGTTTTCAATTGTTTTAAATGGTGCTTGAGTGTGTGGGTTTTGAAAATGTTTTGAAAAGATGCCAATGTAGTGGCAACCTTTGTAATGATCCATGTGGGGATGTATACAAAGATGTATGTCTTTTGAAAAGGTTTTCATTTGTTTTTGAAAGTTGTTTTGAAAGTGTAGTGTTGTGTGGTTTTGAAATTAGGCAAGTGTTTTGTTTTGCAAGTTTGATTCGAGTAACTAAGAGGTTATCTACTCCTAAATTTCTCAAAAGATTATTGCTACGTTTTAACCCTTTTTAACAAGTTTGTTCCACCATTGAATTTGGTGGGCAACCTTATGTTAGGATGTGAAAGGGACAGGCGCGGGTCATCGTTTAGACCATAATTGCAACGACGTTAAATGTCTTTGGGCAATTTTCTTTAAGGGACTTGATCATTTGTTTTTGTTTATTTTGAAAAATTTTATCGAGGGACTATGATCATTCAAATTGTTTGCTTTGCCCAAAGAAGTTCAACATGCAATATGGCCCAATTTGAAAGGCAACAAGTGGGGTACCCTAGGGGGTGCAAGTGTGATTTGTGTATCCATTTTCATGCTTGTTTATCTTGTATTAGGTCCAACTATTTTTTGTCGTTTTTTCGCATACAAACCCTAATTCTAACATGTTATTATTAGAAAGCGTATAAAGTGCGAAATTTAAATTTACTAAGCTATTACAAAACCAAATAGGGGAAGGGGGGTACAAATGTTCAAATGGGGATATTGACAAGAATTTAAATCTAAATTATTACATCAATTTGAATATTTGCAATGTAAATAATGTACAATAATTGAATAAATAAAGATGGAATAAAAATGCAAGATGCAAAAATGTTTTGTATATGTATGAAAAAAATGTTATTTATGTGAAAAATATTAAAGATATTATTTTTTGGAGTATTTTGAATTTAGGGCAACAAAAAAAAACCCTAATTTTAATGAAAATGGATATTAATTGACTTAATACAAGTATTTATTTATTATGTACAAAAATAAACATAAAATGAAGTATATTATGAAAAAAAGTATTTTTGTATCAAATATTAATAAAAGTGAAAAAATTCAAGTATTTATATTCTAACCTAAATATATTAATAAACATATATATATATATATTAAGTTCTAAATATTATATACAAATAATAATAATAATTAATTTTTTTTAATAAAATCAATAAAAAGGTATTTTTATGTGAAATATTTTCAGAAGGTAAATAAAAATAAAAACATGTATTTACACTATTTTTGTATTTATTCTAAATCAAAATATGCATATATTTTATGTATAAACAAAGAAATAAATCAAATAAATATGCCATAAATTCAAAAAAAGATGGAAAAAATATTTTCAAAATTTTAATATGCTGAGAAAAAATAAACAAGTCAAACAAAAAAAGAAAAAGTCAAAAAGAATTAAAAATAAGACAAATGGGCTTGGGGGGTTCATGAGTAATTATGGGGTGTGAAAAGAAAAGCACAAGACAAGCCCAGCCCAATACCACTGTCTTCAACCTCCAGCACAAACATTTGAAAAAACGCGCGCCTCTGTTCTTCAATGTCCAACTCTTGATTCCTGGCTTTTTAGCAAAAACTCATAACACAACAAATGTTCAGCATGAAGAGACGATTCTAACCATGTATGGAACTTGACCTAACTCTCTAAGATGAGGGAGAATTTCTCCTCCCCCAAATCCTAACCTAGTTTTTCTGCCATTTTCAAACTACAAATTCTCTCTACTCAGGCAAAAGAAATGAAATGTAAAGATATGTACATGTTCAGGGCTATGAGTAGAACCTTGTTTCTTCACAAACTTAAGACTAAAGATGCATGATAAGAGAGATACGAGTCCAAAGTTTTACCTGTGCAGTTGAACTTCTATCTGGAGAATGAGGAACTTCTAGTGCAAGGTAATGATTGGAAAAGCTTCCTTGAGGTCCAGGGATGCTTTTTCAATGCTTACTTTGTCTTGAAACTTCTTGTATCAAGCTATAGAACTTCACCTGCAAAAGGAAAAAATGAAAATGGTGGAAGCTGTTAGAGGGATTACAGGTCAGGTTTTAGGTCATGGTTAGCTTGCATATATGCTAAGGAATGTGTATGGATTGATTTTGGCAAGAATGCTCGAGGGAAATGGGAGTTGGCACTCAAACTGCAGAGGCAACTCTGTTTTTGCAGTTTGAGGATGATTCTGAGATGGAGGGTGCTTGAGAGGTCAAGGACTCGTGCCAAAGCTTGGATATGTTCTTTAGAATGTGTTTGATGACTTTTTTCTTGTGTTTCTATGCTGAAGAGAGAGTTGTCACAAATTATGCTATGTTTCTTCTATGTGAAGCAAAGAAATGCAAGTTGTTGATTTAGGTCAGTAGGGGGCCTCCTAATGTGCTGCATAATCTTCTCTTGATCAGAGTAACTTGTCCATAATCTTGTGCCAAAAGGATTTGCTATGTACCTTCTTGATTTGCAATTGGACATAAAGCTAATCTTTTCAAAAATGGAAAGTTCACTTTATCTAGTTTAGGATTAATCTTGCATACAATGCTTGCACTCAAAGAACAACACTTTAACACATTGAATATGCATTAAATTATTGAGTATGGAATGGTTCAAGGACCTGTAATCAAGCATAAAGCAAGCTGAGTTCAAATTTGCCAAGTTATGGACATGTTTTGATGAAGAACAAAAGTGAATTTTTGCCAACTTGTGAAATTCGAATCTCTCAAGTTATGAGGTTGTTTGATGAGTTCTTGGACATTTTGGAAAGCTTGGAATGTGTACTACAATCCATCTTTGAAATGCAAATTAAAATTCCAAGTGGAAGTGTATGAAAAGTGGCCTTGAAGTGGGGTAGAAAACCTTGTCAAAATAGGTTAAAATTTCACTAAGTTAAAAATGGTTTAGTGCCCCTATTCAAAAATTTGTAACTTGAGATACAAGCTTCAAATGAGAAAACTTTGTGAATCAAAGTTGTAGATTATGCAACAAGATACAACTTTTATGTTTTGACTTTTGTTTGAATCCAAATGGATCTTGGTGAAAAGATGGGGCAAAGTTGGGAAAAAATTAGGGTTTTTCATAACTTAGAAAAATTCTAAGTTATGAAAAATTCCATTTTCTAACCCTAATTTGCATTTTGTGATTTCTTGGTGAACAAGTTTCATGATTTGGCATGTTTTGATGAAAAATGAATCTTGACTCTTGATTTTGACCAAAAAGTCAAAGTTTGACTTTTCAGTATACAGTCAAAATTGATCAATTGACTGGGAAATTCAACTGTCAATCTTGTGTACTTGGAATCTTTTGAGCTTGATGAATGTGTCAAGACCATTTCATTGAGTCCTTGAGTCCATATGTGAGCTTGGTTTGCCATTGGCTAGGTCAAACAGTCAAAAATTGCCTTTGTACAGTCAAAACCCTAAAAATGACCATTTTGCCCTTTTGGTGATCTGATCAAATTTCTTGTGGAATTGTGATCCAAACCTGATCAAATGGTCCATATGAGTTCATAATGTTGATGTGGATCAAATTTCATGAGATTTGACTGTCAATTGACCATAGTTGACTTTTTCCCCAATACAGCTGATTTCCAGGTCAACTGTCCAATTGACTGGGCAAAACTTGGAATCAAGACTTGAAACTTGGCATGGGTAAACTTGGGAGTCCAATATGAAGCATGAAGGTCATATTGGGCCTTTTAGGTCAAAACATCTTTGTTCAAACACAAACCCTAATTTGAGTCCACAGTTCAAGGAGAAGTCTTGAGCAGAGGAAACCCTAACTGGATCTTGATCTTCAAGGGTCTTGGGATGAGAAAATGTTGAGGAAATGGGAGGGCAAATTTTGGGGTACAACACCAACCATTTAAGCACTTGTTTTGGCCATAATCTCTCCTGTGTAATCTGTAACTTGAGTAAAATTCAAAAAAAAAATTTGTTGCCTCCAGTTATTATCAATGTAATGTCCTGTGAGACGCATGTAATTAGAGTCTTGGGTAGATGCCCATGTGTCTGTAGTGATACAAACTCGACGACAATTTTGTGACAAAATAGTCTTCATCTTTGCTTTCTCCATGTCCCAATTCTTCAAAATATCGCGCGCCAACGTATTGCGTGATGGGAACTTAAATTTTGGTTGTAAGCCATAAACGAACCTATTAAGTATGGATGCTCTGCTTTTTGAAACACGGCTACAAAATTTTTTGTCAAGTCCATTCGGCTTACTTCTTGGTCAAATTTGGGAACCGAGTGGGATAAATTAACAATCGCTTCCTTATTTTCCATTGAGCTTGAAGATGGTTCATGCATCGTCACATTTACCGCATTATCTGGATTAGCACTACATCTTCTCAAATGAGCTAGCATCGCGCTTGTTCCACCATCATCCATTATACTTGATCAAGGAGCCACAATGCTTGCATTTTGTTGACTTTGACATTTCTGAGTTCGGTGGCATTGGTGTAAAATGATTCCATGCTTCTGACCGGTTTTTACGTTTTTGAGGCAACAAACCAGCATTATTAGAAATTGGAGGTGTAGAACTGATATGTTCTTCTGTCTCAAAGTCTATATTGCTGTCATGACTATCCATATCGAAGTTGCTACAATTTTGCTAAAAAGTTTTAAGCACCAGTTAGAAGCAATCCATAAAGTAACCAATAGTGTCAATATTAAAACAAATCTTAATATTCAGATTAAAAACTATTCTAATCAAACCATATAATGAAGTTAACAAAACCATTAAATTGAAGCAATCCTAATTCAAATATTACAAAAATGGCACATGTAGAACTATCAGTTACTGTTACTATATACAGATGGCAAAAATACTAGCCAAAGCATACAAATGCCATCATATACTGTCATCAAAGTCATGTCATGCTTATGAGAATAGCCAATACCCTCTCTTTTTCCCTTAAAATATAACCCCAGTACCCTCTCACTCTCATCACAATTCCATCAAGAATTGTCACTCTTGTCTTCATTAACAATCTTGTAAGGAAAGTCAAAACTTTCTTATAGCTAGCAGAAGAACTTCAAACTGACAAGTTGATTATAAATTATGTTAGACAGATTCTGTCAATTCATCTTTATTAATACAAAACATATATTTGAAATACAAAGTGCAAGAATTATCTATAATTTTCTAACAAAATAAACACTCACAAGATTATCAATAAAGACTTCTCACAATTGAAGATGGCTTGGTCAAATTATTATTAATGATATGCCACCTATAACCATTTTACAACTTATGACCTACAATTGTGTGGCTCTAGTTGTTAGAACATAGTTTGATTCTACAACCCTCAATTAGAGTTTTGATGATAACAAAATACAAGAATAAATAAATTATAAAATTTATATATAAGACATATATGCTACTTAAAATTATGTTTTGTATTTACAGAAACTCTGATGGAATCAGCATCAGAAGATCAGTATCAACATCAACATCAGAAGATATGTCAGCATCAGAAGATCAATAACATGTACTACACGCAGAAGTTACCAGATCATATGCTGAAGCCTGATGACCAGAATCTGCGCATAAAATACTCTGACTCTGATCAAGATCCTTACCAAGTCATCAGCACTCAGAAGCGTCAGAATAAGTTAAAGCCAAGAACACTCTGATTACCATAAGCAGAGAACACTCTGAAGCGTTACTAAGCATTCAAGACAGATTAATTACCAACGGCTTTATTCCAAGACAAGATCTTCTCAAAAAGGAAAGAACATTATTATCATTGAAAGTGATTTATGGACAACAACGTATCTTTGCCTTGGCTATATAAACAAGTCAGTGTGAGAAAAGAAAAGGTTAATAATCTTCACTGATATACACGCCTACGAAAACGCACGTACTCATACATTTTGCTAAGCCTTCAAACCACGCCCACTCAAAAGCATTAGCAATTCAGTTTTTATTCTAAGCTTAAAATTGTGTATTATCACAGTTGTGATATATAGTTTTGTTAGAAAACATTAACACACAGTATTGTTCTATTATCTGTAAAGAGATTTCCTTGAGATAAACCGGGTTGTGGTTATACTCAAGAAGGCTTTAACAGTTGTTAAAGTGATTGTTGTAATCCTATTGAATATAATGGATTAAGACCTCGTTGGAGAGAGGCGAAATCACCTTGACGGGTGGACTGGAGTAGTTTGAGATTAAACGAACCAGGATAAAAATACAGTGTTGTTTAAAATTTTGATTCAAGTTTTACAATTCAACCCCCCTTCTTGTGTTTTTCACATCTTCAATTGGCATCAGAGCGCCTGGTTCTGAGCTTATAACACTTAACCGTGTCAGTACAAGATCCAGCGTCAGAAAAACACAATGGCAGGACCACATCAAAACATCAGCAATGACAACAATGAAGAAAGAGACAAATTCAATGGCAAACCTCCAGTCTTTGATGGAGAGAACTTTGACTACTGGAAAGACAGAATTGAAAGCTTCTTTCTGGCCCATGATACTGATCTGTGGGACATGGTGACTGATGGATACACGCACCCAGTGAATGGAAGTGGTCAGAAGATTGACAGGAAAACAATGTCTGATCAGCAAAAGCGTGATTTCAGAAATCATCACAAGGCCAGAACAATTCTTCTCAGCGCCATCTCTTATTCAGAATATGAAAAGATATCAAACAGAGACACTGCAAAGAATATGTTTGACTCTCTGAGAATGACGCATGAAGGCAACATTCAAGTCAAAGAAACCAAAGCTCTTGCGCTCATTCAGAAGTATGAGGCATTCAAGATGGAAGAGAGTGAATCAATAGAAACCATGTTCTTAAGATTTCAAATTCTGGTTGTTGGTCTCAAAGTTCTTGACAAAGGGTATTCTATTGCTGATCACATTAAGAAGATCATCAGAAGCTTGCCAAAACAATGGAGGACAATGGTCACAACGCTTAAGCTAGCCAAGGATATCAACAAAATCTCTCTGGAGGAACTTGTCAGCTCCCTCAGAAGTCACGAGATAGAGCTAGAAGCAGATGAACCTCAAAAGCAAGGTAAGCCATTAGCTTTAAAATCTAACAGAAAATATGACTTCAAAGTTTTGCAGGCTGTAGAAGAAACCTCTGATGGGTCTTCATCAGAAGAAGATGAACTATCTCTCCTCTCCAGAAGGGTGAACCAATTATGGAAGCAGAGGAAAAGGAAGTTCAGAAATCCCAGAAGATCAGAGAATCAAAATGAATCTTTCTCCAGATACAGAAGGTCAAAATCCTCCTCTGGACACAGAAGATCTGAAGGTTCTTCAGGAAACAGAAAGCCAAACAACAAAGACATCATCTGCTATGAATGTAACGAGTAAGGGCACTATAAAAGTGATTGCCCAAAGCTTCAGAAGGAAAAGCCCAAAAAGAAGTTTGGCAAGGAAAAGAAGAAAAGTCTCATGGCTACATGGGATGATTCTGACACATCTGAAGCTCACTCAGAATCAGATGATGAAAGAGCCAACATAGCTCTCATGGCAAACATAACAGAAGACAGTGAAGCTTCTGAGTCAGATTCTGAATCAGATACAGAAGAGGTATTCCCTGACTTTGCTATAAACTTTACTAAGGCTGAACTAGCTGAAAGCCTTAATGAAATTCTGGAAAGATATCAGCAGATCAGAGTCAAATTCAGAAACCTGAAAAGGAATCTTGCTTCTGACTCTGATAAGACTGAGAGTCTCAAATTGGAGAATTCTGAGTTAAAAGATAAAATTTCAAAATTAGAAAATTTATTACAAAACTCTTAGAAGGAAACAATCCCTGAAACTCCCAGTAGTGCTGATGAGATCATCAAGGAGTATGATCACAGCTTTCAGAAGTTTCTAGCTAAAAACATAGATAGAAGCAAAATGACTTCAATGATCTATGGAGTTAGCAGAAATGACAGAAAAGGGATAGGATACCAAGGTAAGGTACCTACACCAAAAAATGCCATGGATTTAGTTATAAAACGTACTCCACTTGATTTACACTTTGTATATGGACACACACATGACATCAAATATACAAGTAGTAATTATTCTGTCAAGCCAAAATTCAACCAGAGTTTTGGTAAAACTAACAAATCAGAACCCAAGAAAATATGGGTGCCTAAGGATAAAATAATACATGTGGCAGATATCTTTAGCAGCAAAGCAGAAATACCAGTCATGGTACCTGGACTCTGGCTGCTCACGACACATGACGGGAAGAAGGCATATGTTCCAAAGCCTAGAACTTAAGCCTGGAGGCCACGTAGGTTTTGGAGGCAATCAGAGAGGAAAGATCATTGGCTCTGGAACAGTAGGTAATGGAAATCTTTCCTCTATAAGTAATATTTTATTAGTAGATGGATTAATGCATAACCTGTTATCCATAAGTCAATTAAGTGATAATGGTTATGATATAATCTTTAATCAAAATTCATGCAAAGCTGTTAGTCAGAAAGATAGGACTATCTTATTTAATGGAAAGAGAAGAAACAACATTTATAAAATAAAACTTTCTGAACTGAAAAGTCAGAATGTAAAGTGTCTTCTGTCTGTTAACAACGAGCAATGGATCTGGCACAGAAGATTGAGACATGTTAGTATGAGAAGAACATCTCAGATTAACAAACTTAATCTGGTCAGAGGACTTCCTAACCTGAAGTTCAATTCAGATGCTCTGTGTGAAGCATGTCAGAAAGGCAAGTTTGCAAAACCAGCTTTCAAATCTAAAAACGTTGTTTCCACATCTAAGCCATTAGAACTTCTGCACATTGACTTATTTAGACCAGTTAAAACTGCTTCAGTCAGTGGCAAGAAGTATGGGTTAGTAATCGTAGATGACTATAGCAGATGGACATGGGTAAAGTTCTTAAGGCACAAGGACGAGTCACACTCTGTGTTTGTCACCTTCTGCAACCAAGTTCAGAATGAAAAGGATCTTAGAATCGTCAAAGTCAAAAGTGATCATGGTGGAGAGTTTGAAAATAAAGATTTTGAGTCATTCTTTAATGACAAAGGCATTCTGCATGATTTTTCTTGTCCTAGAACTCCCCAGCAAAATGGAGTTGTAGAACGTAAGAACAGAACATTGCAAGAAATGGCCAGAACCATGATCAACGAGACTAACGTTGCTAAGATCTTCTGGGCAGAGGCAATAAACACAGCGTGTTACATTCAGAATAGAATCTCCATAAGACCTATTCTAGAAAAGACTCTATATGAATTGTGGAAGAATAGAAAGCCCAACATTTCATATTTTCATCCATTTGGATGTACTTGTTTTATTTTGAATAAAAAAAATTATTTGAACAAGTTTGACTCTAAAGCACAAAAGTGTATTATGTTAGGATACTCTGAACGCTCAAGAGGGTACAGAGTATACAATACAGAAACACAGATTGTGGAAGAATCAATCAGTGTTCGTTTTGATGATAAGCTTGACTCTCAAAAGTCAAAGCAGAATGAAGTATTTGCAGGTATGGAAGTTGAATTCACAGGTACTGAAGACAAGTCATCAGAAGCTCTTAACAGAGACACTCCCTCAACATCAGAAAGAGGCACTACAAACAATCCAGCACCTTCTGTTGATCAACTTTAGAAAAGACTAT